CTGGTGAAAATTTCATGTCATTAGCACCTCTAGTAATATATTTACTGAGAAAAATGTTGACGTGTTCAATACTTATTTTACCCACTGTATTTTTATAATTGTTATTATTTTTTTAATTTCAAAAATTTCTCACTGCAGCTCCTAGATTCTAATAGCAACTGATTTTTTGGTTGTGTGGGGGGAGGGTTAGTAAGAAGGGTTTAGGCCTCACTGGTGGGCTGGATGAAAGTCACCAGTGGGCCAGATGTGGCCCACGGGCTACCAGTTACTCTTCCTATTGCAGCACTCAAAATCACAAAATTCATCACAAGCAAATGTTTTTTTTCAGTACAACAAGCCAATGAATAATCCTGTCATGCCTCAAAATGTCATAAATATAAACCCCACTGTTACTTGTACTGATATTGGTTTAACAGCAGCTTTGCTTCAGTCTTGTAACATTAAACTTTAAAACATGAAACTGTGAATTATTACTAGGATGATTTAGCTCGTTAGGGCTGCGGTAGATCAGTGGTCAGCGGCGCGGTCTCGTAATCCCGAGGCTGCAGGTTTGAGCCCAGGCTACGTCAGAAAGAGAATAAACACTTTCCAAATATTCTGCACGGGCCAAAGACAAACCAACGCACTGGACTTCAGCTTGTTCTGCAGTGAAACAATTAAAGAAAAGGTCAGTGTGAACCAGTAGTTCATGAGTCACACTGCATGGAAGGAATTCAAAACAAACACGAACGTTGTTTCATCTGTGCTGTTCCTGCTAAAACTCGAGCTGCTCATTATCATCAGTGCACTTCTCCAAAGGAGAATTTACATTTCAGCTCTGTAGTTAAATAGGAGTTAAATTAAATAAAAGCTCAAAAGTTGTTATAGACGATAAAAAGCTAAATTAGCTCATTGTTTTAGAGTGTGCTGCAAAAGGTTTTTAAAAAGTGGTGGTTAAATATGAGTTTTCTGCTTTGCCAGTGTTTATGTAAAGCAGAGAGTGTTTGTTTGAGAAACTCTGGAGTATGTGGAGTCCGAGCCAGTTTCTGTGCACGCAGCAGATAAATGAGCTGGACATTAGTCACATCACCCCCCCCACCCTGCAGGCAACCTGTTACTGTCAGTCTAATGCTGAGTCGGGGTCAGAGTGTGTTTGTGCACAACTCTCAGGGAAAAGGAAAAGAATTAAATGCAAGAATAGAGACAAAGTTCATGTTTGCTGTTATTTGAGCAAAGGAGAAAGCTTTCATAAAAATGTGCGCTAAAAGTCAGGTAAAGGGTCCGAGCGACACCACGTGTGTTTACATCTGATCCATCTTCATGACACCGGCTGGATTAAAGCCCTCCATCCGTCTCTTGATTCTGACAGCGAGACCCGCTGTGACCCCAGCGTCACCTGGATCTGACTGGACTGTGGGAGCCCTTCACCCMCCGCTACTGTGCTGAAGACAAGCGGGGGGATCACAAAAACAAAGAGAARGTAAAGAAACGGGACTTGGGACAACTCAAAAAAGCAGAAATCACCTGCAACAGTCGGTGAAATCCATCGTGCAGTTTCATGTCCAGTTGAGCCGCTTCTTGATTATGTAAGCATCAGTGACACTGAGATATCATCTCCTTCCATCTGAGCCGGTGAAGCCAGGCTACTGTTCCTGCTGCTGCTGCAGCCAAGAAGCAAATCACACCAAAGCAATCGGCTTCTGTGGAAGCACATCAAGAGCGAGGGGTGAAACAATTCTCCAAACGTTTAACCTCGCTACAACAAAACTTGGTGGAAACTTGCAGTAAATTTCTTAGCAAAATTTTGAAAAAGTTGCATAAAATGTTTATAAAAACATAATTCAGACATTTGCAAATCTATATTTTGTTTTCTGTGAAACATTAAGATGTGTAGAGGTATAAAATATTTTTTAAAGATATAAGGATGCTGGGTGTGTCTGATTATTATTTTCATTTATTGTTTTTTTTTACATTATTTGGAGATGTTTGCATGTGTAAATATATGTATGTATGCATATATATAGGTATATGTACAAAATCTGTTCATGCAAAGTGTAGGCATGTATGTATGTGTACATAATTGTATATCGATTTATACATCTGAATGTATAGGTGTGCATAAAATGGTGATAATGCATATTTTGACAAGAAAAGAAAAAAGTGTGTCCAAAAAGTAATATTCTAATTATATGTATGTGGGTGTGTGTGCGCGTGTGTGAATGTATGTAGATGTATATGAGAGGCCATGTAAGACATAAACCGAGAAAGCTTGCATACACATATGATTGAAAACCTAAAACCTTGCATAAACACACATGAAAACCTCTCATACACACATGTGAAAACCTTTCATACACACATGTGTATACTGTATTTACGTATATTTTTTGTAAGTGTTATATAATTTAGTAGGTGAACTGATTGTTGTTTCAGTATTAATGAAATTGTTATTTAGAATATATATATATATATAAACTATTGTAAGTTCAAATTTGGTAACAGTGGCATAAAAATGAATATTTGAGACATAATAAAATCCAGTATGTCCTATTGCATAACTGGACACATGTCCAAATATGTCCAAACTTGACCCTTTTTCTAAACACTGGTATTTCTAAATGCTTCAACAGACATTTCATCCATGACTCAAATTAAAGATTAAATACCCAACAAATCATATTGTCATCCATATTTACTCACAGCATGATTAAAATACCAAAACAAATTATTAATATTCAGCAAAATCAATCCCAGACATTCAGCAAATCTCCACCAACAAACAGCCAAAACAATTACATCCTTATGTTTCACAGAATTACAACCCACACAGCTTATAAAACCACCAGCAGCAAAAAACCATTTGTTTTTCACTTTTGCTGCATGTTTTTCCACAATTTCTGATGAAAAAAATCGATTAAAAATGGCAACTGGAAGTGGTACTCTATTACCCCTCCTTTTATTATTTTTCATGGCCACAAAAATCACTCTTCCTTGTCTTGAAGCACTCAAAACACTTCATAACAAATAAATTTCATCCTTGACTGGAAGAAGAACCTCAGCTTAGCCTGTTAGCCTTTGCTCTAGCACTGACGTTATATTGTCTTATGTGTATTAGCTCGGTGCTAGCGCGACAAACAAGCTAAACTGTTGTCCTCCATCCATATTTTCAGTTCCAGGCTGAGTCATTTCTACCTTCTCCTCTCTGTCAACGCTCTCTGGTTTCATTTAAAAGAGTCGATCATCAGATATTGTCCAAGATTAACCTTCAGGGTGGATATAGCTCGCTAGCAGCCTCGCACCGAGGACCTATCCACATCATCATTTACCCAGAATGCTTTGCGTGTGAATAAAATGGCCCCGTCCGTGTAATATATTTTTAAATTTTTAGTTTAAAAATTATAAAAACCAAACAGACAACAGTATTTTTACAGTCTTTATTTTACAGTTAAAATATGTTTATCAAATAATGTCCAATGTTACAACCAATCAGGGATCCCTTTAAAACTTTGACACTCCACTGTATGTTGCCTTGTAATTTTGTGTTTTAAATTCTTAATCTTTTTTGGATATAATGAACTGTAGCTGATGGAATATTCAAATCTTCCCAATGTTTATATTGAGCAACATTAATCTGTTTCACTGCATTCGGTGCAGTTTTTTCGCTGAATCTTTGACGAGATTGAGCCTCTAAGTTTATTTATTGATAGCATTCTGTTTTTCTGCATGTTTTATACACTCACCAACTTTTTTGTGACTTGATATATTTGCTGACTGCATTGAGCTGAAAGTGCTCTTTAGGTAACCCCCCCCCCCCCCCCCCCAAAAAAAAAAAAAAAAAAAAAAAAAAACCTCCACTTTCACTTCCCTTACACCCACAGCGCTGCATTTCACCTGCACATTTACAGCAGAAAGTCACGTTCAGCGCGGCCATCTGGCTACTTTACTCACCGCGTCACATTTTATGAGCTCATTTTAGGTTTTGGCAAGTTAAATGTTTTGTGGGGGTTGGGGGGGGGGGGGTTATAGTGTGTGAAAATTCAACCTGCAGTCTGGACTGTGGAATGGGAAACGTTTTAAAGCCCGAGTGAAGCGCTAGCTTGCCTTTTTGTCCTGAAGTCTACTGTAAACACGTAACGCAGACAAATAGCTGGAAGTGATTATTCACTGTTTCAAAAGGAAATTTATAATGTACAGCAGAGTGTGTACACAGCTCCTGGCAGGGCGAGATGTGGGTGAAATGGTGTGTTTTGTGTGTGTGTGTGTCTTCTAAGTTTGCCAAAAGCATTACCTAAAGCCATTAGCTGTGGCGGTAAAGGAACGGACCGCTGTGCTGACAAATGAATGCTGGTTTAAGATTGTTTTGCCAAAACAGAGTGATGAAGTCAGCTGCTGGCCGTGGAAATGTCTGAGYTGAAGCAGAATTTAGGTGCATGACTAAATTTTACTTTCTTCTCTTAGRTTTTATTTGATCACTTTTTTTGTTATTGTTTTTTTGCTTCGAGGCAATATAACGTGCATATTTACGTCATTTTGCTACACACCACTCTCAGATTATGCGTTATAAACAACTCTCAGCTACTACCACATCAAATTGTACCTAAATATCTGAGTTATAGCCATTTTTGTGTTTAATACTGAACTAGTTGTGGCAGCAATCTTGATTTGGAATGATACAAAAGTTTAATCAGTTTTAGATGCTCACTCAATGATTATCTTTTTAAAATTTCATCTGTCCACTGATTCATTTGATATTTTACTGACAGCACAGATAAAACCATACTGTTCCACKTTTAACTTTGGCAGCAGTAAAGCATATACTTTAAAACTACAAAACAAATTTGGTGAATGTTAACTTTGCAAAGATACCAATTTTAAAAAACCCGTCAAGATGGCTGCTACAGCTAATCTACTTTTGTCACAATTTATTTTTGTCACAATATATATATA